GTGTGTGTGTGTGTGTGTGTGTGTGTGTGCGTGCGTGCGTGCACTTCCACACTTGACTGAGCCTAGCAGGGACTGGAAAAGGGCAGGTCTCGCTGCCTTGCAGGACAGCAGAGACAGAGGACAAGGAGTCTGCATGTGCCCATTTATTTATAGCTGAAGTACTTTTACTGATGTAGAAACTGCATCAGGTTGTTGGAGAAACCTAAAACCAAAGCAACTTGTTTTTACAATAGCACTTTCTGTAAGATGAAGAAAAACAGCTAAGAATGGTGAATTTGTTAAATGCATTTAGAATCAAATCATACTGCAGAGGTGTTTTCAAATTATAATAAAAGCCATCGTATATTACTATAGTTGGTCTGGTCACATCATCAGTCCCTTTTTCCCCTGATAAAGGGTTTTTGGGGGGAGTGTTCCTTTACTACATTCAAGGAGCTAATGGCCGTAGGTATTGTATGCTTTACAGATGAAAAGCCCTTTGTGGCAAACTCAGTGGGATGAAAGTAAAAACGTTTACACTACTTAAAGTTAAAAGTTAACCACTCAAGTTTCTGTACCCTCATTAAGGCCATAGAATTAAGAAAGTTGAGTATTTTGGGTAGTTTCAGATTTTAATCGCAGATGACATTCTGTCTATAGCTTGAGTCTTACAATGGAATGTCCTCTTTTGCTTTTGATGAAAATTACTTGGTTTTTAAAAGAAGAATTATTCATTGTGCATTTAACTGCCCACTTTCAGCATTAATAACTCTTTTGACTGAGTGCTTCTGAGAGGAGGGTCTGCTCACTTTGGTGCCATGAATAAAGGATGAAAAGTCCAAGGTTTCAAGCACCAGGACTTTATCATATTGGACGAAACAGAATCTTCAAGGCTAAGACTGAGTCCTTAAATGTCTTGATTGCAAAGAATTGTTAGGGTTTTATAATGGGCATTGGACCACGGACCTTTTCGAAAAAAACATGTGAAGAAAGGTCAAACCTTGGGCAAGCAAGTACACTGCTATTAACTGCTGAGTGCACTCAGAAGAGCACAGTTTTGGCTAGAGAAACAATTTTCAGTGCCACAGTTTCTTCAGAATCACCTTAAAGGCCGTGCACTGCACATACATCGTAAACCCACGCAGCTGATATGAACTATTGTTGGATTAGACCACACTGTAGGACTGGGCGGGTTCATGCAGACCATAAATGGCACGATGAATTTCCCCTTTGCATGGGGTCCAGTTGACATCTTGTAATTCCTATAGTTACAATGGAAAGATCTTTGATGGGTTTTCAGGGCCTTTAATAGATTGTACTCCTGGGTGGAACATTTCTGAGTAGGCGTACCTGACAGTACAAGTCTATAGTCTTCACACTCTATCTGGATACTCGTAAAATGCATGTTTCACATCATGTGAACCGTTTTTCGTTGAAGAAATGTTTCCATGTCAGAATATAGAGGGCCTAGCTGTAAAGAATGAGAGTCATGATGGCCAAAACTGATCCCACTTTGGGGAAAATGATTGTACATTAGTAATATCCAAGAACATAATAATAAATAAATAATTTCTAAAAGTAAAAAATACTTTCAGAAAACACAGAAAATGTAAAAATTGGTATTA